TCATCGTCTCCGTGTCTGAATTCCTACTGCTAGTGCTATCCTGCTATCCTGCTATTCCTTGCTATTTCTGATTAAGCTGCGTGGAAGAGGAAATTAAGTGATTCCTGTGTACTCTTGGGCTTGCAGTGACCTGCCTTACCAAGCTCTGTTTAACTCCTTTGTGACCTTCAGAAGAAAGTTCCCTGGGAGGGCTTTCACCACTGGGCTGCAGTCTCCCCCTCCTGAACTTCAGCGTTAGGCTCAGGCGCGTCACAAGTGTGTCAGGGTAATGACCCGCTTTCAGTATTTAAAGCCAGCCCGATAAATCCCTAAATGACTTTCTAATGGTGCAGTGAACTCCTCAGAACATAATCAATGCACATTAACAAAGCGCTGGGAAGAAGTTCTCTGGGGGGTAAAGCACATACCATGAATCTTCCCCATGTTGTTGCAGTGGGCAGGAACCTCCAAATCCCTTATTGCATTTGACATTTATAGATGGGAAATATTTTCTAAAACCATCCACGGGCTAGGCTGTGTTCTTTAAAGAGCTCTACTGGAGCAGAAAGGTCTAGGTCTGATTTTTTTAAGGTATATAAATGCCTTAAGATTCAGGTGTATATAAAAAGGGATTTTTACAAAAGTCTGAGAAGTTTGACTTGAAGGGACCTCTGGACATCTCTAGTCTGATCTCCTCAGAGGACTTCAGCTAGCTTCAACGTTGGCTCAAAGCCTTGTCCAGCCAACTCCTGAATATCTCTGGGGGTGGCAGCTCCAGCACCTTTCTCAGGGAGGGACCTGTCCCACAGCTGCACCACCCTCCCGGGAAGGGGCCTTGATACTAGGAAGCTTTAGGGACTTCATGATATGCAATGGCCTTGAAAGGACACCCACTGCCCCACCGGGAGCTTGTGCTTAGTCCTCTTCATTTCCTGGAGTCTGACAGACCAGAGGACATGCACTGCATGACGTGCTCGGCAAGAAAGTACTTAAAAGACCTTGGGTTTTTTTTTCTCTGTATGTCAGCAAAATTAGCCACTTCCTAAATTAATTGTATTAGTTTTTTACCTTAGGGACAAAATGGGCCCTTCTCTCAAACCCAGACTTTGGGTGAAGTTCATTCATCCTCACTTGGGCACAGGAAAGTTAAGCACTTAAACACCTTCAGCTCTCTCCATAATCCTTATGGGGAAAAAAAACAAACCGAACCAAACCAAACCGTACAGATTATCTCATACTGCAGTCAGTTCTAAGACTGGGCTGTGGAAACTAGCTCAGACTCGAACACATTTCAGTGTTTCAAGTCAGGCCAGACAATTCCTGCCCCTGGAGCACCATCAGGCGCCAAGCTCCGACCAGGATCCCCAGTCATCTCATTCCCAGCGTTGTTACGGGATCTAGAGGTCCTGATTAGACTCAGCACCCTGCTGTGCTAGGAGCCACAGACAGACACACAGCCAAGTCCTGGCCCAAAAAAGACTGCAATCAATCCAGACAAGACAGATGGACACACAGATTTACGGGAAGTCACACAGCAGGTCAGAAGCAGAGTTGAAATGAGAGCACAGGCAAGTAACAGGTCCGAGATCCCTCAATTAATGCTTTTTCTGTGGCGCTAAGGCACGAACCATACATTTCAAATTGCTCTAGCCCAGATGCTCTTGAATTCAGAGCCCAGGAAGCTGCAAAGGCAGTTTCAGAGATGGCCAGTACAGAGCCATTATGCCTGAAAACAGCTGCAGCCCCAAACTGCTTCTCCCAAGCCCCACAGTTCATTAGTGTCCCTGGTTTTCAGTCTCCCATGACAATTTTCTCTGAAGCTGGGCATCCTCTCCAACTCCCACAGCTTTCCCTGGGCTCTGACTCATCACATTAACCTTTCTCCAAACCCTCCCTCCTTTGAAAATCAGGATGTGTGGCCATTGCATCATTAGTTGTAACAGCAGGTAGCATTACTGATAGTCCCCACGATTATTAGACCCGCAATCGTGCCAAGTATGCTTTGTGTTCTTATGATAGTGCTATGTTTGTGTTAATATAATACTTATAAATGGTATTATTAGTAATTGCATCACTAATAATACCCCAGTCGTGAAATGTTTATACTGGACCCATCTGCTCAGAGATCCACTGTGACAGGTAACGCTACAGCCGTCTGGCATCGCTGGGTGCATCTGGCTCGTACTTCTCAGTGTGGCAAATCAGGCAGCCGTCTCCATCCCGGGAGCTCCCACTGGGTCTGACTCTCCAGCAGCTGTAAATCACCTCTAACCTGCAGCTACTGCTGGAGAGGAAGGCAGGAACCCACAGGCACAAGTTAGGAGCACCAAGATGTGGAATCAGGAGAGCTTCTTACTGCAGCATGCAAAGAGGCCCGGAGAGGGGAATCTGCAAAACCACCCTGAAGTAAGGAGAGACATCCCTGCAAAAGCACAGCCACTTTCAGAGCAGTTACCGGGTTAGTTTCCATTGCTTTGAAAAGTAGCACTTGCATGGTTTGGGCTTTGAAAGGAATCTCTCTATTCCCCCCATCACTTTATCAGTCTCAATATATAAAAAAAAGCGGCGCAAGGGGGCTTCAGTCCTTCCCCAGCCAGCTCCGGCAGGGGTAGGGGTGGCAGGTCTGACAGCAAACACCGGATCCCTACATGGAATCCACATGCACAAAACATGCACGTGCTGAATTGGCCACAAGCATGGCTGTCTGTGGGTGCACACACATGAGTATGCCAAGTGCCTGGTGGAAATGGCTAAAACCACCCAAAACCTGGATCTTGTTCAGTGTTTCCCTTTTTTCTTCAGTCCTGTGACCAAAGCAAGAGCTTGAAGGTGAAAGGACAAATGGTTAGTCCATGTTCTCCCATCAAAGGAAACCCACAGGAAGAAACTGTTGGAAGAAGTCACTGAAGCTGGGCAGTGATGTCCTGGCTGGGGAATTTTGGTCTTGACCTCCAGGTCGTGAGTAGGATTTCAATCCAGGTCTTTCTTAGGAGTTTCCCCAACAGAGCCAGTCTGAAAACCACGGCTCTCAGGAACAGTATGTCAAAAGGTTAACGTTCACTCCTGCTTCTCATCAACCCTTGAACACCCCCGGAGGAGAACTCAGCACTTCTGCTCCTGTCGTGGCCATGCAGAGCTGCGTGAAAATAACTTGCAGAAAAAATTCATGGGCAGACTTGGGCTCCTCGGGCAGGAGGCCCTGAAGGGACAATGTGGCAGCAACACCAGCCCCTCCCACAGGGTCAGTATCCCTGTATTGGCTCAGGGAACCACAGAATCACAGAATTCTGATCTCCCTATTGATTCTGTGTGGAGCCTTGGAAATCTCCAATTTCCTTTCAACACTGAGATGCTGAAACAATTCACGGATTCCATGCACTGATTCCCGATCTAGAAAGCAGGGATGATGATGTTTCCCTGTCATTAGGAAACCCTCTGCTCTACCCAGGCAAGTCATTCCAGCAGCAATTGCAATTTTGGAAGACTCCCTCTTACTTGCTGTAGCCAAGACAACCTCAAAAGGCCGAATTGCTGGAAAACCCCCAGCCCTTGGCAGCTGGGGACACACGATGGCAAGCTGGGCACCCGCTTTTGGTAGTCTGGACCTACAGAGAGCTATACCACAGCAAATCCCAAGCAGAGCCCTTCTGCCAGGTGGAAAGAGATGGTCTCTGCATCAGGAGCTCCATGGGATTTGCCTATGGAGCAGAACAGTTCCATTGCAACACAGACAATGAGCTACTTCAGGAAAACAGCAAGAATCAGCACCAGAAAGCTTCTATTTACAAACCTCACATGGATTCCTTTTATAACCTTTTTGAGGCTTTTTACCAGTTTTTGGGGCTTCACAAGAATTTCTGTCCAAAAGACCTTTTCTTTTCTTGTTAGAAATGGCATTTGAAGGTGAAAGAGTCCATTCAAAGACAAATATTTTTCCAATATTCTCATGGAACAAGGAAAAAGATTCAGGTAATCTGGCATTTTTCTCTACAGAAAAGAACAATTTTGACCACATCACCTTATTCCACTGGGAATATATCTCTCTTGTCAAAGTATGTCTCGTTCTCTCAGCCATGGTCCTAAATGCAGCATGTTCAGGAAAAGCTGCAAGTGGTGGCTCGACCCCGCTCACCAGCCACACAAAGGTTTTCCATCTGAAATCAGGTGAAATAATGACACATGCAAAGAAAGGAAAAAAGTTTCAAATAAACCCTCCTTTTATCACTCCTCCCAGCTCAACTGCTCCCTCTTCAAAGTTTCTCCTCTCATTGAGTCATTAGTCTCCAGAGAATGATGCTTGAGCCTTTGATTAAAATTACTGGGGAGCGTCTCTGTGTGATTAAAGAGAGATAAGACAATAAAAGGAGGAGGATTTCACACCATTATTATGGCAAATTAGTGCCATTCCCAACCCGAGAGCTGCGTCAGCTTGTCTAATGTAACAAACGCTTCCCCTGTTGGAAATGTGTCCAATTAGACTTCGAGATGCCAGCCTTCAGTTTTCAAAGGCCTCGAAGCTGTACGGGCGCTGTGTGACAAGAAGCCTGATGTGACCAAGAGCTGGAAGTGACGCTGCCCCATGGAGCAGGGCACAGAGGAGTGAGGTGTGCTTGTTAGTGGCTGACAAACGCCGGAGCGGTGTCTGCCACCTCCAAAAGGGAACAGAGGGTACAGAGACACGTGGATGGGCGATGCCAGGAGGAGTCGAGGGGAGCCAAGGGGTGGGTCTGGGACCCGGGAGAGGCAGGGTGGGTCTGTCCTGTGCAGGGAGCCTCTGGGGCTTGGTCCCACAGCAGGGGAAACACCTTTGTCTAGAGAAAATCATCATTTCCAGTCTTACCCAAACAAGAATAGTTCTGAGAGAAAAAAGGTCATTTTTAGTCCAAAGAGAATGTCTACCCAAGAATATATTTCAGGAGAGCTACGCAATCTGCCTCCCTGATGTAGAGAGGCTGTGAGCCTCTGCTCTCCTCCTGGAATAACGGATCATTCATCCCCTCCCCGGGCATGATGTGGGGCTACATTCTCTAACTCAGGAGTGAAGACACTACACTGTTAGTAGCCTGTAAAAGTGTAGGCAGGTAGCTGACAGAAGCACCTGTTTGTGGCTTAAAGTGTACTAGTTTATCATGCAAATGATATGTCAACAGAATAGCTGTACTTGGCTTGTACATTAAGCAGTTAAACACACCAGGTGTAGTATTAAGGAGGTTATGTGTTACATATAATAAGCAGATGAAGCCAAGTTGCCAGGAAGCCAGGTGTCCTCAGAAATCTGAAATCCAACTCAAAGGAACCAAGGTGCATGCATCTTCCCACTCAAGCCATCCAGAGAGGTGATGCTTGTGAAAAGTGGGGTCATGCTTCTGCCAAGGCACCTCGAGGTGACCTGGTTCCAGCTGGGGCCCCATCGAGGCTTTATCCATGGGATGAAAGGTCCAGTCTCAGCTCTCCAGTTTCATTTCAAGAGCGGGTGCATGCTGAGGTCGTGCATTGCGCATTTTCCACAGCCTGAGCTCTGGGAACTATTTGCAAGGGTAAAAATAGTGCATGATCCAATCTTCTCAAGGCTTTTCACTTCCCAGAGGGTGGAAATACTGGGGAGGGGGGGGGGGAGGGGAAGCTCTTGTAATTATTTCAGCTCCACAAATTGCTTCCTGGGGCAAGTAAATGTTGTAAAAAACACACACAAATGTTCAGATTCAAGTTTAACCAAATACCAGGACATTTGGATTTACTCAAGCACCAGCAGCCTCCAAGCTTTCCTGGTGATTTCAGGTTCCCTTACAGCAGCAAATGTTTTCTTTCACAGAAACTCAAAGTCAAACTTCACAGGGCCCTAAAGAGTCAAATAAAAACGTTCCCTGCCTGCCCCATGGACCAGCTCATTACACTCCAGCCCTCACACTGCTCTCCAGAGTGAGAATGGTTCCAGTGATTTATGGAGAATCAAAGCCAAAATCCCCTTTGTTTACAGACTGATGCTTGGCCTTAGGGCACTGTTTCAAAGGGGTGCAACGGAGTGAGACATGGAGAGGAGTGCTCCTCAGTCCCACCCTGCCTGGGATGCCAGTTCCACCCTGGCTCCAGCCCAGACCTCCCCTTCTCCAGCTCTTCCAGCCTCCCCCAGGGCCGCCAACCCATTTGGCACCCAGTGTCTTCAGGGGCACCTTATTCTGAGAGAAGGAATCTTGTCTCACTTCTGATCCAAATTTCAAGACTGCTGTGAGCCTTCAGGCTAATATTTTTCACACATCATAAAAAATCATCCCTTCCCCTGCACACACGTGCACAAATTCCTTGTGGTCTGCGTTCCCTCAGGGGCCCACGGGCCTCAAGAGATGAAAAAATTGCAGTCAAGGAGGTGTTTCTTCGGCATTTTCTACAGTCCATGACCCTGTTTAAACCCCTGTGAGAAACACAGTAGGATGCATCACATAACCCTGAAAAAGGGTGGGTTTGCGTTAATTGCTTCCAAAACATCCAGTGGTGAGAAATCCAGCAATATAACCAAATCATTTCCTTCGCTGTTAAAAACCAGCACCCTGCTCGTGGGCTGGGCTACCCTGGCAAAGCTGTCCAGACAGCGATGCTTGCGCAGCTTTTCCCTGCATTGTTATGAAGCTCTCCAGGATGAACATCTCCCTGCAGGTGTAATGGTGCCCTCAGCCAGCTGTTACCCTCTCTTTGCTAAATTAAGCACAACACACTCCTCGATTTGCTCTCCAAAAGCTGTGATTTCCTATTCATTAAACTTTTTCTGGCTCTTCTTTGAATCTCCTCCAATATTTCCACACCCTTTTTGAACTGTGGCTACTGTGCCAAGCACAGGGGCAGCGTAATTTTCCTACGCAAAACAGGTCGGAGGATCGCAAGTTGCTCATCAGTGACCTCCTGTCTCCCCAGGGCTTTCCCGAGTCATCAGTTACCAGGTCCTGCAATTATTCTCTGCATTCCCTGGCTCCACAGCTGGTCTTCATTCCCCGGCTTTAGCCATTTGGGAGTTACATGCTTTAGTAAGCTACTCATCTGAGTTGCCTCCCCTTAGTCAGTAGAGAGACATAGGTGCTGTCCAGAGGCAATTCATCCCACTCTAAGGGACATCTACAGTACAATGAATAGCTCGTGCTCTGGGGGTGTCTCCACCCTTCCTAGGACTTGACATGGACCCCACATACCTAACATTTAGATGCCCCCGGTTAAGTGAGATGAATGCTCTGACATTTGACCACACCAAAATACCATGTTTACTTGACCCAGGGCTGTCAGGCAAACCCGAGGCTCTATATCATTAACGGGCTCTGTGAGAGCTGGTTTTTACCCCCAGTCTTTGTGTCACTTTCAGTATTTATCAGTGAGGATTTAACAGATGCTTCTCTTTTTTTTTTTTTTTTTTCCATGGCTCATTGCTGGGGACATTAAATGGGACAGGGTCAAGACCAGGCATTTCAGGTCTCCATGAGAAACCAAGCTGTTTGATGTGGAATCTCCTTCTAGGACTTCATTTGGAAAACAATTACAAACCCCATTTATTTAATGTGCACCATATTGATTTTGGGAGGCTCCACTTTATTCATTAGGACGTCAAATGCTTTTGAGGAGTTTGACCAATTTAAGAGTAAGTGTGGAGCGTGACAGCTGGCCTGCCTTAGGCTGATGGGCTTTGAGGGCAGAAAGGATTATCACAGCCAGGGTCTGACCTCCTGAGCAATACCGGCTACAAGATTTCATCCATTAGGCTCCTTTGAAAATCGCAACTATCAATCTTTCGGGTCCAGTCCTTTCCCTACACAGCTCCCCTGGAAGCACCACAGCTGCTCAGAAAGCTCAGTAGGATGCTGGTGGGGCCAGGGAGGGAAGGGCCCAGCCATACTCGGGTCTCTCCTACCTGTGCTGGCCTGGCAACAGACTCCGGACAGGATTCATATTTTCCATGCTGCTAATTTTAGTCCTTTGCTTTCCAGCACCCACAGACTTGGAGACACAGCCCACTGCCTCGCTGCAGCTGAAATGCTTTCTAATGGCCTCAACCCAGAGATTTACACTGAGCCAACTCACTTTGAAACTCTTCCATCAAAACGCCTTCTGCAAAGAGATTTGTTTCATTATTGTTGGGCCTGAAAGTGCCTGAAGTAACAAAGAACTTCAAACTCCTTCCAATTTATCGTGGCACTAGGTTAGCACTTCATTTACACCCTGTGTACCTGGGTGCATGTCTTACGGGGGGACAGGCAGGGGGTGGGTGGAGAGCCCCAGTGCAATGTGTCCGTGATTATGGTGCAATACGTATTGGATGGAGGATCTATGACAACACCTGTTACGGCTGTATGAAATATTGACAGCGTCTGAATACATACTGCCTCCTGAACAGCTCGTTCTGGAGGTGTTTAATGAAAGACATCTGTCGTTTTATCCTTGGATCTACACGCAGGCAAAGCACAATCTCTGCCCTCCCTGCAACCTCCGTGAGGGTTTCCAGAGCTGTAAGGAGATGGCAAGAAACACGCAGGCTCACCTGTCCAGAGGGGTGCAGGGGGACAGACAGAGACTCTTTCATGTACATGGGGTCTTTCATTGTGGAAAGGAATTAACTCTGTGCTCCTCTGAAATCAATCCCTGCACAGACAACTGGCTTTAATGGGACCAATAAAAGACTGCGCAGGCTGCCATGACAGAACAGTGGGAGAAAGCCGGGACTCCGGGGACATCAGCTCATCCTTCAGACTTTCGTCCCCGATCGTGCACTTCTCACCATTTAACCGTGTGCGCAGCGCCGGGGCACAACACCCTTCCCCCGCGTGATCCAAACACTAATCCATGACACACATTCACCCCAAATGCCCAACATATACCCAAAGTAACGACACACGGTGTTATTTTTCACCTTGTAAGGTCTCTCCAGGCATGCACATGCATGCAGACACACAAGCACCCCATACGCTTCATTACTTTTATCTTTACACCACAGAATTCACTCTCTCTTTAACACATCTGCCTGCACAAAGCCCAGCCTCCCCTGCGCAGCTCCTTCCAGCACAGGGACATCAAAGCACACCATCTGCACGCACCTTTTGCTGGCGAAGCTCTAACTCCCCCTTTCCTCACGTACAAAACCCAAACGCCCCATCACACGCAGCTGTCCGGAGATGCAGCTCTATAGCACACAGAGTGACACCCCCAAAGGCCTCCCTGATGTACGGAGGTGTGAATGCAGCCCCACACACAGCGTTCTGCTGCCACTTACACACTGCGTCATCTCATCCATTCTCCTCTTGGCTCACCCTTCAAACTGGTCAGCTAAATTGGGGGGGGGAGCGGGGGGAGCAAAAAGTTGGTTTCCTTCCACAACCCTCTTCTTACTCTCTTGAGGAAAGAAAGCTTTCTCTGGCTGTTCCACAGCACCTTCGTGAAAGACAGGCAAGCCCTGTATGAAGATATGTCCTGAAATCCTGTCCCAGGGACAAAATTCCCACAGGCTTCCCGGGGATGGGTAAATTTTGATGCACAACAGTGACCCTCTTCGTTCATCACCTGGCTGTGTTTGGAGCAAATCCAGAGACATTCCCCTGGCCAAGGACATACTCCCTGTTGATCCTGGGGGGAGAAGGCGACCCTCTGCTGTAAGGACAGAGTGGGGCAGCACCCAGAAGAGAACCAGTTTGGAACGTGCTGCTCTCAGCCAGGTCAGAGCTCCCCTGAAGGGCAGCGCACCAAACCTGTGTCAAGCCAACTGACCTGAGAACCTGTTATTGCTCATTTTCTGTTGTGTTGTCAAAGCCGAATCGAGAGGAATGGTAGGAAAGTGTGCTGTCTTCAGAATCCAGGTACAACTGAAGAGCAGTGACCTTTCCTCACGCAGGAGAGCAGACGCACCATGGAAGTGCAGTACGAGGCAGTGTCGGCTCTGTTGCTGTGCTTTGTCCCCGTTCAGTCCTCATCAAGGGCAGCCAGGTCCAGCTGCTACTCTGCAGAGGGAAACACATGTTTCTGCTGTTCCCGCCCTGAGCCACAGCCCCAGGTAACAGGACAGA